AGACTCTCCTCTTCTCTTATTTCTATCGTTTTACTATTCTATTCTTTACATCATTTCCCATCCTTTGTTCTCTGTTTCTTTTCCTTTCTTCGGTCTTCCGCGTTCCTGCTTTCATCTTTCACCTGTTCTCCGAATTTCTCTATTTCTCATTCACAAATATCTGAAATAATAAAAACTATCCAATTATCACGTTTGTCTTAATTTCTCAACGACGAGTTGTTTTCGACGATTAATCGTTGCTGTATAATCGTTGTACTCTATCCACGTACAAAGTAGATACGAAGATTGAAAATTATGAGTGAAAATTTTAGATCCGTCAGAAGATGAAAACGCGATGAAATAAATACTTCTCGCGAGGAGATTCATCGCGGCGAGGTTAAAAGTAGGAAAATCATAAACCGTTCAAAAGATAGGCACGATTACAGAAATCGCGTGTGCGGAGAAAATCGTAGACTAGAACGTGATTTAATAAACACGAAGGATAAAACGTTTGAGGTTCGCGCAAGAAGGTCGCGAAAGAACAATCGGACCTCATAAAAGTGCAAAAGTTGCACGCGTACGCAAGCCGGAGCAATCGCTTTACGTAACAGTTATCTCCGAAACTAATTTGCTATGTTTCCCCGTTGACGCGCCGCTGTCCAGAGATAATCATCGGAAAAACTATCAAGCAAGTTCCTCGAGTTAATTTAGCCGTTCGTGACTTCATTTATCCTTGCTCGTTTATCCTTTTTTTTCTTCGATCACGATAAGCATTAATCTTCTTCTTTCTCTTTCTTTACCACGTGCAACGTGTCCATAATATTAAGTCTGCTACCATCCTGGAATTTTTATATTTTAATTCTTTGCTCGTTTTAACAAAGACAACAACAGAGAACATACGTACCGTTCTAAGAAGATGTTTAACATAAAATTAGAAGGAGAAACGATGCATGCCAATACGGATATTTTTTACCTCCTTAATAAAGATAGAACAAGTTATCTTTTGACGTTAGTAAGATACGATCTATGACGTTGTACACGGAAGACGAATATGTCCGTCGAACTGGCTCGGTAACAATTAACTCGATGACGATTGAATACCGAGCTGTTCCTCAAAGTGTTTGCGATATTCTCCTATCCTCTTCAAAAATTGATCCACTTCGCTGCGAAGATAGACGCCTCCATAGTCCACTTAGCCTGCCTATCGAACTAGAAGGAAATTTCGAGCGATACATCAATGCCAGCGTAGCGTCCGCTTTATCAAGCATAGAACAGTTCGCCTCTGATCATTTATTAAATCTGAGCAGTCCGTGGCACCGCGTTGCGCGATGCGATTTATGCACGAAGAAGATTCCTCGAGTCTCGCAACGTGCTGCCGCGGCGAAACCGTGGCCGATGTATAATAAAACGGACACGGCGCGATACAATCGAAACTGTTCTAGACCGATTAAGACGAATTTCAGGATTCGCGAACGCCATAAATCTCCGATCGTAAAAATCCTAGGTACCCGCCGCGCTATCTCACTCGTATACGATGAGGTGCTGATACAATAAACCTGTGACGCAATCTTGCATAATGTATCCCTATCTTAACCAACATCCCACGTTACCACCACCTGTATTCAGCACGAGTTCACTGATTGCACAAACTTTCTGCATCCAGGATACGAGCGTGTGTACACGTTGGACAGTTGAATCCGTGTGTCTGCGTGCCCTACTAACGTACCAACGCGACATTTTTCGGGATAATTGAAGCAGTCGCGTTTAATTACCTGCCGGTATTAATGCGTCCTGATCGAATTGACCGAACCGCAACAGCGAATCGTTAAACTGTTTCTGACGATTAACACGACGTTCGTTGATATTTAAAGATCGATATATTTGATAAACGTATTTAATTAGTCTGTATGAGATACGAACTTCCGTCTTTGATTTCTCGAAATTTCGTTTCTGTTAAATGTAAGATAAAATTTACACCGAGGAAATGATAAATTTGTAAGTATACCGTTTGAATGGGCTCACGTTTATGCAACGATGAAAAGCGATTTGTATAATTTGATCGCTATCGATTTATTATCTTCGTCCCTTCCATCCGTGTGTCCATAACAACATGCTAAAGGATATAGTTAAGATGCATGAATTCCAGTCGATCGGGATTCACGTATGTGCATCTTAAGCAGCGATGTTCTTAAACCCTTCGTGTTTCAATGACGTGCGCTTCGTAAAAACGTATGAGAAAGTCTCGCTGGCAGAAAGCATGTTGTTGCCTTAACTGCATCAGACATAATAGGTTTAATTGCCATCTCTCCTTTTCAAGTCCTCCCTACATGAATTACGCGATCTAACTTTTTATAGAATCTTTCGGTATCGTCTCGTGCACATAGATGGTACACGTTTCTTTTTTTTTTCGTCCAACGTAAAAAACCTAACCCGAATCTATTCCTTCGTGAAAAATGTCAGATAGTAAAGGTCTCGACAAACCTGTTCATCACGAAGAAAAAGCTTGTAGAACATCGATGTAACCGTGTATTAACTTTACGTTGTGACCGATACATCAAAGTTAGGACCAAAATTAATTTTATCGAAAAAGAATGTAATTTAGCATCCAAGAATGATCTCAAGTGAAATTTGAAGAACGAATCTCTAAACGATGTGCGATTAAGCTTTTAGCCAACCATACTCGTCAATTGTTAAGATTGTTCTTCTGTTGTTACGTTCGTCACGATTAATTTCATCTTTGCAATAAGCCTGATCTTCCGTTAACTATCCGCTCATCGGCACAGTGTCGAGTAAAAAAAGAGTAACGGTGAAGCGTATGCGGGCGTTAATGGACCACGTTATGGCAACGCGTATTAAAGGATTGCGAAATCGAAAGTACGAGGAAAGTATATTACGCCATATAAAAATTGGTCTGCATCAAACCCATGACATTCGATATCGAAGGCTACTTATTGCTTGCGAAATTAAACGAATGACCACGAGTAGTACATTCAGAGCAAGAGACGTTTAACAAAAACGTTCCTGAAATATTCGACCCATCGTATTTCGTAATCAATTAAATTCTCATCTTACTCCCGGAACAAAAAAAGAGTTAAGTAAGTTAGTTAAGTTACAGAACCGCTTTATGTGTTGAGAAATTACGCCAGAGTTTACATTAGTAATAATACCAATTTCACGACAGCCAGAATCACTATATTCGAATATTTTTTAAATTACCGCTTTTTGCGATTAATACTTTACAATATTATCATAATAGCAGGTATATTAAAGTACACTAAGTATATCATTAGTCTGGGTATAATATTACCGTACACTATATATACCTGATATGTTGCAAATGCGTATGTTGCTCGAGCGCTCTATCCTGTTTAATCGAAGCGCAAATCACGTGTCGCAGAGTTGCACCCCAAGCTCGGGACCCTGATTCACGCATCGACGCTCGAAAAAGATTCGAATTTGCCGGCTAATTAATCAGCGACCAGAAGCGTTCTATTAATCATCGTTTCGTAGCGCGTTAAACAACGTTCTGACTTCTAATTAGATAGTTAGCTCCGTAATTAGTACATTCGCTTAACATTGCCTAATGTCTCATTCGCCTGACTTGTTCTTCGATGGAAGAATCGCATCAGACATCGAACAATTTCGTGAAAGTTTCCGATGCGATGAGACGAGAGCAGTATTAATCAAGCCTTGGTTAACGAAGACGAGCGGTCGAAGTTGCCATCCTTAGAAGGTCCGTATCCTTACGAAGTCCTGCATCCTTCTTCGTTTCTGCCGCTCTAGCCACCCGACAGAGAGGCGAGAGCACGAGAAGACCGATGCTCCGAGTTAATGATGCGCCGCATTGCGTTACAATATAGGATTCGTAACCCGTGAAATATGGAACGAATCCGTACTCTAGGTGGTTGCTACGGTCCCACTCTTCTTCACTCACCATCACTACCGTCACCGACTGATTCAACACCACCGTGACACAGTTACACCGGTGCCTCGCTGTAAATCCTACAGCGCTTGCACCAAACCGTGATCTAGAAACACGGATGAATCCCGGGATATATAAAGCGGATTAGAACCAAAGTTTGTCATTCCCTCGACACCATCCAACGGTGGAAGGTGTAGCATAGCCAAAAGGTAAAACCGACGGAAGACGAAAGCCTATCTGGTGAAGCAGTTCGCGTGATCCAGAGACTCGCCTTCTCAAGGATAAACGAGGGAAAAACGGTGGCCAAGTTTATTGTTCCGCCCAGAGGAAAGGCCCACCGACTTCAACATGTCTAAGGTGAGAAAACTTGAATCCAGAAAGAGCAAGAAAATTATATCTGTTGCAACTGATAAGCATCGAGCAGGAAGACGCGCGCGGCAAGGATTGTTTCGTATGTCAAAATGTCCCGAGCTATTCTGCGACCAAGTTGCTTAACGCGAGAAAATTCTATTCTTCGGAGTTACTATTTGTGTGGCAGTATTCCAGAGACGATAGGAAAATTTTGCTCGCGAATCATCGTATTAATCGACAGAAAGAATTCAATGATGTTTCCGATATATCTCTTATAGATCGTTCGGTAGAGTTTAGTAGAGCTGCGATTCCAGAAATACTAAAAATCCGATACTTAAAGTGGCAATCTAAGAAACACGATAAGATAAAAAGATCTACCCAAACTCCTGTTTTTAAAAATTCATGTTTGATTACCAACTTAATTCTCTAATTCCTATCACCGTGTCAGACTAGATGCAACGACTATCTCTACTTGAACGACATATACAAATCTTAAAACCTTATGCATACAGATTGGATTAGCAGTATTCGTCATAGCCCTTACCCTGGTGCGCTCTGAGCCGCCGGTGAACTCATATTTGCCACCAAACGGCGGTGGCAACGGAGGAGGTGGCGGAGGACCGTCCAACACTTACGGCCCGCCTGGTTTCGACGGGCAGAACGGCATCGGAGGAGGCGACAGCGGTCGTAACGGTTTATCAAATAGTTACGGAGTACCTGGCTCGAACGGTGGAAGGAATGGCAATGGCAGAGGAAATGGTTTCGGCGGTGGTCAACCTTCTAGCTCTTACGGAGCACCATCCAATGGACTCGGTGGAAACGGAGGTTCAGGTGCCGGAAGACCATCCAGCAGTTACGGAGCACCTGGTGGAGGAAATGGTTTCGGTGGTGGTCAACCTTCCAGCTCTTACGGTGCACCGTCCAATGGACTCGGTGGAAACGGAGGTTCAGGTGCCGGAAGACCATCCAGCAGCTACGGAGCACCTGGTGGGGGAAATGGTTTCGGTAGTGGTCAGCCTTCTAGTTCTTATGGTGCACCGTCCAATGGACTCGGTGGAAACGGAGGTTCAGGAGCCGGAAGACCGTCCAGTAGTTACGGAGCACCTGGCGGAGGAAATGGTTTCGGTGGTGGAAGCAACGGAGCTGGCAAGAACGGATTCGGCGGTGCTCCATCGAACAGCTACGGTCCTCCAGAAAACGGAAATGGTTTTGGTGGTGGCAATGGAGGTGGATCTCCATCGGGTCTCTATGGACCTCCTGGAAGAAACGGTGGAAACGGCGGGAACGGTGGAAACGGTGGCAATGGAGGACGGCCATCGAGTAGTTACGGAACGCCTGAGAGAAATGGAGGAAGACCATCGGGTCTTTATGGACCACCAGGTAGAAATGGAAATAACGGCGGCGGAAATGGAGGATATAACGGTGGCAATGGTGGATATCCATCAGGAGGACCGGGTAGTAACGGGGGTGGCAATGGTGGATATCCTTCTGGAGGTCCTGGTGGCAATGATGGCTATCCTTCTGGAGGTCCCGGTGGTAATGGCGGCGGCAACGGTGGTTATCCTTCTGGACCAGGTGGAAATGGTGGCGGTAACGGAGGTTACGGGGAAGATGAAAATAACGTAAGTATGTTTGGTGATAATTACCTATCATGACCAATTATTTCTGATCGTTACAATATATTTTTTATTGTTCGCTGTGACTAATAAATGAAATTATCCGAGTTAATTGCTGGTATAGAAAACAGCAGCACCGATAAATTTTAGAATCAAATATATATTATTGAAACTAATACATTTAATTCATAGTAAACGATATAACGATAATTAATTTCTCTCACCGTCGAGTATTTCATCTAATTTTTATTGCCTGCTAGGAGTCAATACGAATTCTCAACTCTTTCATAGTTTATGACCTATAACTATCTTTATTATATATCTCGATGCTAATTTAGGAACCAGCAAAGTACGAATTCTCTTATGAAGTCAAGGACGAGCAGTCCGGAGCTGATTATGGCCATACGGAAAGCAGAGACGGGGATCGCGCACAGGGAGAGTTCAATGTTCTGCTTCCTGATGGCAGAAAACAAATCGTTGAGTACGAAGCTGATCAAGATGGATTTAAACCTCAAATTAGATACGAAGGTGAAGCGAATGGCCAAGGATATGGTTCTGGTGGACCAGGAGGCAATGGTGGAGATAATGGATACCCAAGTGGCGGACCTAACGGAGATGGAGCCGGAGGTAATAATGTTTATCTATCAGGCAGGCGAGGTGATGGGCCTGACTTCACCGATGGTGAATGAAACATACATACATCTGCATAAGTTCTTCGCAGGAACTACGTTTGAATTTAATTTCATCCGATTTTTAATCGTAAATATATGTAATATTTGAATTCTTAGCAGGGTATCCGTCGGGAAGACCAGGTGGTGACAATGGCGGTTACAGAAACGGAAATAACGGTGGCAACGGTGGCAACGGTGGCAACGGTGGAAACAATGGAGGATATCCATCCGGAAGTGGTGGCGACGCAGCGGCTAACGGAGGATATCAATACTAAATGTTCATCTAAGTGTAGTAATATATATCGCGTGTATTACAAAAGGGGAATACATAGGGCAACGTTTATCATAACGCATGGGATAGTTTCTGTCTGGAACAGTAAGAACGCAACTGTAATTGTGAGCGATGATAATTTTAGTACGATCGAATTTTGATATCGATCTTTACTATATTTAATCGTTTTAGGACACTTACAATTGAACGATCATAGAATGAAAAGAATGATCACTCGTTTAACATTGAAAACAGGCAGTTTTCATATTGCAATGCTTCGTTTGTTTCAGACGTAGTATCCTTCCTAGTATAAAAGGAATAACTATTCATAGGATAAACATAAAGACCTCAAAGTCAATCCTTAGAAATGAACGATATTGTTAGCTGTTAATCGCATACTTCTTGATATATTCATTTATAACGGAATTCACGTGCAATAATACTAACAATATCGTTTAATAAACTTAGCAAACGCAGTGTCATTACTTTTTAAATCAATTTCTCTTTCAGTATATATAATAAGACTCGTAAATGAATTGGTTATCATTATATATACCATTTGCGATTTTTATACGTGTGCAATACTCGTCTTCTTCGAAATAACTATAATTTCTTTAACATTTGATGATCTATCTATGATTTTATAACTACCACCAGATGTATACTAATTTTTAACGTTTGTTAAGATATTGTATTTATTACTATTTATCATACTATATATATATATATATATTTTAACGATGTTTAAAATGTAGCTGTAGAAACAAACGTCCGCATAAATAAAAATTGCGGTAGGCCATAATGTGTTCAGTGTTCAGTCTTTCACTTACACCTTTCACGCTATGTAAACGTTATTCTACTACAATTTATATGAATATACATATGTATATATACATATATATTATATGAATATATATATACATACATATGTTTGTGTATAATCATTTAAATGATCAAAAAAGAAATGTGTACGCGAAGTAATAATATTAATCATATTTTTATATTAATGAAGCACTTGTTTGTAATGTAATTATCGTATTAGATGCTTATGTACATATAATCTGCTTCTTTCGTATTTATAAATCAAATTTCTAGGTTTCATATGATAGCAAACAAAAGAACAAGTAAATAAAAGCAACGAGTGCTTTGAATATTTGATAAATACCTGTAATTTCAGACGAAGTAGTACATTTCGCCCACAACATGTTTGCATTCACAAAATACGACAAAATATTCAAAGATGTGATCTGATATAATAAATAATAGATACTTCAAATCTAACGAATCATCAGTACTACCATCTTCCAAAAACTAATTTCTAAGATGGCGTTTCGGCTTAAATGTAACGAACGTAACATAAGGCAAATAAATATATATCTTCTTCAGAGATAAAGTAATTTTACATAAACTTTATTTACATTACACAAAAGAAATATTATACCATAAAATGCAATACGTCAAACATATCTCGTTAGTATACAAACAAAATGTAACTGTAATTATTGGAATTTTTGTTCTATGGTATTAATACAGTTCTTGGCTAGGGAATGCAAGTTTTAATGGCAACATGGCAATGATAACAAGAATTATAAAATATTTATATTTTACTCGTTTCTTACATTTAATTTATACACTTATATACGAAATATTTTTTAATTCCATAACGTATTTTAACTCCTCAACCTAATCGGTCAAAAACGCACAATTTTATTTTTAAGGGAATTGTTTCTTGATTATATAATAATATATTATTTTTATTTCTATATCTTACGTTTCTAATAAAATAATACACCTAGGAAATGAAAGAAGCAAGTGTGTTTATAAATATAAAAATGCGATTATTTATTAGTACAAAAAATGGTTGATTACCTATTTGTGCATTTTGAATTTTTAATTATAGCCATTTATTACGCAGGTATGAGCATCAAGAGATTAACATTTGTTTACACTAATAAATTTTGGTAAAACTAAACTATTCAGCTATCAAGTAACATTTGAATGTATCAAATCAGCTATAGCTTTCTGTCTAAGAGTGTACAATTTTTTCACCCATTTATCAAATCTGGCTTCCTGATCAATCATTATCTAGATAAAAAATATTTGAAAATAAAATGTCTAATATTTATATTATTCATGCATATAGAGAAAGAAAAAGGTACACTACCGAAGAATGAAAGATACTTTCAGATCCACAAGGAACTTCAGCCACTGCTGGAACTTGTATAGTATCTGCATTAATATCTATAACAATGTTCTTAAATTTCTTTTCCTTTGTATTAGACGAAAATTGTTTGGATGTAAAACCTTCAGAATTGATTTCCTCTAACACACCCTCCTTAAAACGTGGTTCAATTGGAAAATCACCTAAACATAATTTTATGTTAAATTAATATGACTCCTACAAAATAACATTAGTATCCTAATTTGTATAACTAAATTTAAAATTTTCCTACCCTTATTTTCTATATAAACAGAAGATAAAACTATAAATTCAGATTAATAATAAAATATTTATAACTTGAAAAATAACATATGTAATAAAAATCATACCTTTTATTAAAACATTTTTAGTTTTTTCAGACACAATAGTCTTTACATTAGATTGTGAACTACTTGAACGACTCCCAGATTTTTCTCTTGAAGCTGATCTACCTTTTCTCTTAGAACAATCTGAAGAACGTGATCTAGAATAATACCTATGTCTTTCTCTTCCTTTTGAATTACTGTTTCTAGAGCTTTTGTAACTTTTTTGGCTATGATCTCTATCTCTCCCTCTGCTTCTGGAATGTGAGCGATGTCTACGCTTTGTTTTTGAGTGTTTGGATGATCTTCGTCTATGAGAAGATGAATCACTAGAATTTGAACTAGATGATCTGAAATGAAGGATTACATATTAAACTACGTTTTGCAATCAGTGTTATTAATATAAGTATATATATTAATGGAAATTATGATGTTATGCATAAAATTACAATCAAGTAACGTTTTAATATAAACAGGAAATAAATCAAACTAAGTATATAGTATAAGATCTCAGATAATTTAATATTATTTACCTAGATCTCCTACTACGTCTTCGACGATACCTGCTATTATGATCTGAGTCCGATTCACTAGTATATCTTGCCATAACGGACACCTGGTTCTTTACTTAGATTTAGGTTGTGTCTCATATCGCTGCATTGCAACGTCTGTAACATATAATACTACAGCGCTATCTATAGGTATAAATTTAAAGACATAAATTATAAATAATTTATAGTATAGAATATATAACGAATCAATAAATATCATTCACAGACTAATTTTCTGAATAAGTTAAATTATTCAATCTTTTATAAAAGAATTAAAAATTCTATCAATAGTACAGTGTTAATAATTTTATATGTATTAACCATTTAAACATCATATATCTATTCTTCTTCAATATTATTATTTCAATACTATCAGAGATACTATCTATCTATTTAATCTGTCTAATATTGACTACCAATGTTTAGCTAAAAATATCAGGCATCTGTTACTTATACATAAGGTTTTTAAATATTTAAAACATATCCTAAAATTTATTAAAATAAAAAATAATTTACAATCGAGCATTATTTAAAATATATATCTTTGACTTGTGATGCTCCCTTGATAATTTCGATAATTTGTCAATTGTTTCACGTAATAAACTGTGAATGTTTACAAGCATAAAAATTTACGTATTCGTGTTGCTTTTCAAGGAGTTTTAAAGTTAGTAGAAATTTAATGTAATATAACATGGCGCCGGTAGACAATTCACCAAGAGAAAACATGGGAGCGTTTGATTTTATATATTCGATAAGAGTAAATGATACAATACCGGTACACATTTACAAATCTAGAGATACTGGAATTACGGTTTGTATAGCGGACGTTGAAGGACCTGTTGTAAATGGTTACTTGTGTCTCGGTAATTTCTATTGTTTTTATATTTCTTGTGTATTCTTAAAATATGGTATTTATTTAATTTTATTATTTTATATACGTTATATATATATATATATATATATACGTCATATACACTATAGATATATATTATATAGTATTATAGATAATACTATTTTTATAAATTTAGCTACTGAAGCGCATGATGATGATGGATTACCACACACATTGGAACACCTTGTTTTCCTGGGCAGTGAGGACTATCCGTACAAAGGTGTTTTAGATCTATTGGCTAATAGGTGCTTGGCATCAGGTACCAATGCTGCAACACAAGTTGATTGTACTTTTTATACTATGACAACTGCTGGAAGTGAAGGATTTTTATCTTTAATGCCCATATATTTAGATCATATACTTTATCCAACACTCACGGTACAAAATATTTATTATTTATTTAATAATTAATAAGTCATAATGTGTAAGATGTTTTTAATTAATAAAATTAAGTATAAAATTATTTATTAAGGATGCAGGTTTCCTTACTGAAGTACATCATATTAATGGTGAAGGGGAAAATGCAGGTGTGGTCTATTGTGAAATGCAAGGAAAAGAAAATATAGGAGAATATATGGTATACGTAGAACTGTTTAGAGCAATGTTCCCTGGACGATGCGGTTACAAATCTATTGTTGGAGGTAAAAATATTAATCTTTCTAATATCTTATTATTTTAGAATAGAACATTAAGTGGTGTACATTGCTATTTTTATAAGAGAAATATTACTTTTTTTATAGGAGCATTGAAAAATCTAAGAGAAAGTACTACTAATGAAAAGGTTAGGCAATACCATCAAGAATTTTATAGGCCTGAGAATTTGACAATAGTAATCACTGGCCAAGTGAAACATGCAGATGTGTTCAAAGCGTTACAAATTATAGAAAAGAAAATAATATCAAAAGTATATATGTATAATTGCTTGTATTTCAATTCTTCATTACTTTCATAACATAGTTAGAACTTAACGGATGTTTTAGGGAAATAGAGGTTTCTTTAAAAGACCTTGGCAGGATCCTGTACCACCCCTCACTGAAAGTATAGATTTAGACGTGTATTATCCTTGTGATGATGAAGATAATGGAGTAGTAGATGTTGCTTGGAGAGGATCGTCTCCTATTACCAATATGTATGAGCTTATCGGTTGTACATTACTTTTAAAATATCTCACGGATACATCAGTTAGTCCACTGCAGAAAGAATTTGTTGAAATTGATGATGCATATGCCAGTAATGTTGGCTATTCTTATTGTGCATATACAGTATCTGTACTATACCTTGCATTTGAAAGTGTACCAAAATCAAAAATTCCTCTGGTAAAAGATCAACTGTTAAAAGTATTAAATGATGTGCATAAGAAAGGTATTGATATGAAACGAATGAAGACAGTTGTTCATAGACATATCCTTGAAGATTTGAGTAGTTTAGAAAGTGAACCGCATGAGACAATTGCATATATGCTTTTTGGATATGCACTTTATGGTAATACTAAAGAAGATGTAAGTACTTGTTTTTGGATCTGTTATGAAATGTTATTAATCAAGGTATCTTTATAATGATTATATATCTGTTTCTGAAATTTTAGTTGGATCAGAGGACCAATCAGGTACAAGCTCTTAAAAAATTAGAAACTGAACCTGAATCTTACTGGTTAAATTTGTTAAAAACATATCTTCTTGAGTCTCCATTTGTATTAGTTAAAGGAATTCCCAGTTTGAAAAAAAGACACGAATTAACTGAGAAAGAGAAAGACCGAGTGGCTAAACAAATTGAAAATTTAAGCAAAGAGGAGCTCCAAGAGAAAGAAAAAGAACTGCAAGAAGCAGTTGCTAAAAATGATGTATGTAATTTTACATACATATATGATATATATAATATTCTTTCTTACACACTTTAATTTCGTATACATTTAGATACCAGTACCAGATGAAATATTAAGTTCTGTTCCTATCCCATCTACTCATCTTATCAATTTCCACTACATCAAGAGTTATACAACAGAAAGCAGTAAGCAACATTCCAGATTTGATGTATCAAAGTTGCCATTTTATACATATTTGGATCACGTTAATACAAACTTTGTTTATGTATGTACTTGTTTATTAGTTGATCATATTTGAAACATCATTTAACTGACTAGGCATTTCTTTTACAGATGTTTGTTATTATGAATACTTCAGATATTAAAAAAGAATATAAACTTTATATTCCTTTATTATTGGAAATAATAATGGAGTGTCCAGTAATGAGGAATAGTCAACTCATTCCATATGAAGAAGTTGTAGCTGAATTGGAAGCAGATACCATAAGTAATGATACTAATCTCGGAGTTTCTAATTCTTCGAGGTTTTCATGTGGAATATACAGTTATACTGCTCTGTTAATACTTCATGTAATAATTCTTTATGTTAAAATTCGTTTAACAATTATTTAATAATCTTAAATAATTGTCTTTTTATAGCTTGAAATGGAAAAATATGAGAAGGGTGTACAATGGATTAAAGAACTTTTATACGAAACTAAATTAACTCCAGATAGATTAAAAATTACAGCTGCAAAAATGGTAAACGATGTCGCCCAATTTAAAAGACAAGGGAATAAAATTGTGAATGATTTAATGGAAGGACTGATATATAATAAAGGTAAAAAATTTAAAGAATTATGTAACACGTACGCATTCATACACATACATAATCGTGTGATTGCAAATAATAATTATATTTTTTATTTTCAGAGAGCAATCCTTGTATATCTAACATGTTACGGCAACAGAAATTTCTTAATCATGTTTTGGAACGCTTATGTGATGAAACAGACCAGAAAAAAGTTATTTCAGAAATTGAATCTGTTAGAGAAGTGTTAACAACACCTAAAAATATGGTATTGTACATGGCAACTAATGTGGATAAATTAACTGCTCAAGTACCAAATGTTTATAGCCCATGGAATACATACTTTTCTACATTTGGTACATCAAACAAGACTAAGTTAGTTTATTTTCATAACTTAAATTATAAATTATATGTTCGCATATAAATAGTAAACATATAACTGTACAGACTTGAAGCCATTCCTGATTCAGCATTCATAAATTCTCCAGATGAGATTCCATTGAAAGGTTGCGTTACAGGACTAGGTTCCATAGAATCTTCCTATTTATGTCAGAGCTGCTCATGTATAAATGATTATCATAGTCCAGATTTAGCCCCTTTGCTTGTTTGTATACAATATTTAACTCAATTAGAGGTAAATAAAAAATAATGTAATATCTCTGTAATAATTGTAAAAGTATTGCATCATGTAATGTGTATTTAAACATCAATATTTTTTAAGGGCCCTATGTGGAGACTTATTAGAGGTCAGGGTCTATCTTATGGGTATCATATTTATACCAAACCAAATGAAGGCCTGTTATATTTATCATTTTATAAATCCACAAATATTGTAGCAGCATACAAAGAAGCAAAATCGATTGTAGTAAGTATATGTTTAGATCACAATTAATCAAATTTGTGACATTCAAAAAATGAAAATAGCATTGCTCATCTTTTACATTATTATAGGAGATTCATATTTGTGAAAATAAATGGGAAAGATTACTTTTTGAATCAGCAAAATCTTGTTTAATATTTGAAATTATTGAGAAAGAGCAGAGTGTTGGAGACGTAGTACAACAGTCATTATTGTCTTATTTTAAAAATGTACCACATGATTATACTCAACAAATGGTACAACGTGTATCTGAAGTAACAATTGAGGATATGAGTCGTATAGCATCTCAATATTTAAAACCATTATTTGATCCAGAACAATGTAAAACAACTATTGTATGTCATCCATCTAAAGTACCAGAAATTGTTGATGCATTTAAAACGTAAGTTAATAAGTGCTACAGTAATATATTCTAACATAAATATATATATATATTTATGTTATATATATATATATATATATATATTTATGTTAGATATATATATATATATTTATGTTAGATATATATATATTTATGTTATATATATATATATATATATATATATATATATATATATATATATATATATATATATATATATATATATATATATATATATATATATATATATATATATATATATATATATATATATATATATATATATATATATATATATATATATATATATATATATATATATATATATATATATATATATATATATATATATATATATATATATATATATATATATATATATATATATATATATATATATATATATATATATATATATATATATATATATATATATATATATATATATATATATATATATATATATATATATATATATATATATATATATATATATATATATATATATATATATATATATATATATATATATATATATATATATATATATATATATATATATATATATATATATATATATATATATATATATATATATATATATATATATATATATATATATATATATATATGTAAGTATTTGTATTTATTTATATGTATTTTTGTTACAGACTCAATCACGATCTTAAATCATACACTACTCTTGAAGAAAGTTACCTAAATGATTGGTAAATTTTAAATATATTAAAAAGGCATGCCTCTGAAGTTCGACAAACATATACTATAATGGTTCTGTTCAAAACACAGCTTCAAAACGAATTTAAGCACATTTGCTACTCATTTAAAAAATGCTTGCTGATTTGCCTTTATGGATCAATATTGCTATAAAGAAACTAACAAGATTTAGTCAAGATATATACTTCTATAAATACTAAATAATTATACAGTATATTTGTGTATGTTTTATTATCCCTTATACATGTTGTTACTTAAAATACAGTTTTTTCTTTTTGTGAATTGCCTAAAATACAGTAAATTTAGTTCCAATCATTATTAATATAGGAATTATGATACTAAAATGTTTTCTACTTCTAATGCTGATACACCTTTTTGTTTCTTTGGTAAATAAACTCCGCCAAACACTTGTAAACCAAGCATTGTAATGTTTGTAGTGTCTAATGGTTCTGCATCAGGTACTTCTCGTCCACGATAATATGGTTTAAAATTTATCAAAGGCAATGTTACAATTGAAAAGTCAATATCTGACATTGGTGCCTATTGTAATTTAATATAATTTTTGTATTAAATTGATACTTAAAAATTATTGTTATTTAAACATTGTAAACCACTCGACTTAAACACATTATATAAAAAATTACAACTTATAACTTATTAATTATGCTTTTAAGAATAGCTTAAAGTAATATAGCTAAAGTTTACCATAAAAAATTGTTCATATGTTATATCTTCGTTTGAATGAAGGCCTTTGTGTCTAAGAACAATTTTATAGTGAATATTGTTGCCCTGTCCTCGACAATTGATTTCAATATTTTCAAAATTGGATAAATTTAAATTAGTCATTGTACGTATCTCTGCAAATCCTGCACCATTTGGTTGTGGATTTAAAAGAGTAAAGAATATAGCTCGTTGAAAAACTTGTGTTGTTTGTAGTGCTAAAACAGCTTTTGATTTTCCTACTGTTCTAACAGTATCAGATATTTCTCTCCAATTATCCACATTTTCTACAGTTGTAAAATCAAAAAGTATTTCTTTATGCCTAGTTAATTAAAAATAATGAATTTTAATTGGAGATAACACTTTTACCAGGTAGTTAATTTATGTGTATATAAAAATCTTTTTATTCATTAAAAAAAAACGTTAAACATACATGTTTTTTGTAAAATTTTTACAATGTACCAACAGCACATTTGAGAAATACTGCGATTAGAAGTTATAAATTATTAATTCCTTTTAAATTTCTGATGATTACAGGTTATAATAAACATAGTTTGATTACAAAAACAGGTTACAATAAACACGGATAATAAATGCAATAATAAATTATATCGTTAACATAATAGCTTTTATTTATTATCAAGGATTAATTCAATACTATTCGTAATCTCATATTTACAAACATTTAACACATTAACAAAATATTTTATATAATTAACTAGGAAATTGAATATTTCGGCAAAGAATAAATTATCTTATAAAACATAATAATTTTGTATTTGATCTTAAAAGTTAAATTAGTGGAATTTATTAAAGAATAGTAAATTAAAGAATAGTATAGTGTCGAATGCATATATATATTATTTCTTGCCAAATTAGTATTAACCATTTAATTCTTTCATTATTTATAAATTATTATAAGCATAAAATTGATCTTTATAATCATATGTATAATACACAAAAAATACCTTATACATATATGTACATACGTATAGCTACATTATTACATGAAACAAATTTTCAAATATATCAAATAAATAGATAAAAAAGGCAAAAATTTCTTTCAAATAACATTATACTGTGGATATTCCATAAATTTTACGAACATATGTTTTTTAAGTATCTTTTTCAGATAGAAAAATTAAATGTCAACATAAAAAATTAACATTATTGTTATCAAAAATATAACTCACCCCCTTATTGAGCGGAACACCATTCCAACCATAAAAATATTGTAAATATATTGATAATTCATTGTTGTTTACCAACTTTTACCTTATAATATAATGACTATTTAATTTTACGTGAAATATATTTCTTTTTGTATATACTTAGTGACTTAAATTTATGCATCTAATGCAAGTCAAAGTGATATGCTCAATGTTTTAAAAATACACTTTTGTATATAATGAACTCGCGCGGCAAAATTAAAACATATTTTTGTAGCACACATAAGATGCACTATAAAAGATTTTGTCCACAGATTTATTATCTTAAGATTCAATATTTGCGACTTAAAGACTAGAAAAGAATCTATATATATTTATATACATATATGTACTAAAAACAGGAATATGAAAAATACTAATAAAACCAAAGGATCTTGTTTCTTGAAATAGTCATATAAATTGACATATATGTACAGTAGATAAATACAAAATATTTAAATATCATCTGTATTAAAATAATTTAGAAATTGAATTGCACTGAAATGATAATATGAAGTATTATATATATCTTTGCAGTAATATTACGTTATATCGAATAAACACGTGATTATATGACATAATAAATTTAAGAGATAATACAATGAAACATGCGCTATCAATTTTCTACGTAACTTGCTTGTAATCTATTAATTCTGCCGTTTTGGTTATAAAATACATTGATAGAAATAACATTCTACTTTAAATTTGTTGTATTTAGGATGCAAAATCAATTATTCTAATGCGACTGTAATATAAATATTTATTTTTGTTATTATTTATATATACAAGATATGGAAAATAGATAAGTAACTGAAGTTGAAATTAGGTTTAAACAATAATACATGTTAAATAAAAAAAGATTTTGTTCTTGTTTTCTACATTAAATTGATTCTTATTGATCTCCAATTAATTAGATATTATGTGTATACATATAACAGGATAATAATTATTTTAAGTGGATTTGAGAGCTTTGGTCAAATTTATTCTAAATGATATTTTATATTTTTTTAATATAATTGCCAATATAACTGCAATATAATTGTTTTGCTATATATTAAATAAAAAACAACATATAATATTTGATTCCTTTTAAATTAATTTTTTAATTTCATTTTAGTCGGGATTGGTATGTAAAATTGATTTTGAAAAATATGTTAGGGCTATTGCTAGGTACAATATAGCTGTCAATCAAAGTACAAAAAATAATAAATTTTTCAGATAACATTTCTTCTAACCTTTCTTAAAAATTAACAAAACATGAAATGTGGATAAAAATTTGAGATACATGTCAACTGTACATTACTTCATTTTAGCAGTTGTGAAAACGATATTGATTGATATAATATAATAGAATATTAAAAAATCTATCCTTTTGAAAACACTAATTGTTTAAAATCTTTGAAATAATAGTAATCATAACAATATAAATTTTCTTCTTATCAAATTGGAAACATGGACCATTCCAAAACACTTGGAAATTAAAATGTTTTTCAAGCAGAAAATAAAAGTTATATTTAACTTTACATTAGCAGTTTATATGCTTTGTATGATATGAAAATGGGGTTGTAGTTATATGGAACACCAGAGTTGACATTAATTCTATTTCATTATGCCATTTTGTGACAACTCTTTGATGCTGTTGAGAAGTTTGGATGTGTTACCAACAATCTTTTGCACTTAAGCTTATAGTACAATAGCTTTCAAACTGCAAATTAGATAACAAACACGATCAAACGTGCTTAATCTTGTTACACATATTTAATTTACAATGGTAAATATTTGGCTGTGTCACATTCATATTTATCATATTTTCTTGTGATTAAGTAAATGTTTAGTACAATGCACCTTGTACACAATGTACTATAAGATTTGTGAATACAACATATTGTCTAATATTAAATTTTTTACGCAATAAAGTATACGACCTATGCAATAATATTTGCATGTATGCAAATTACAATAACCATAGAAAAGCTTTAACACTGAAATACCAATTTCAGTGTTAATACAGAATCATTGTTATCAGTACAATTTATATGCATATGTAGACTAAATCATGGATCTGTACTTCATTTCTGAAAATTAAGTCTAACTAGAAAAAAGTGATATTCTTTTCATGGAATAGATTTGACATATCAAAGGTAAAGGGATAAAGACAGGAGACTATTTGCTTACTATACTTAGTATAAATCATATATGCATCAATAGTACCGATGAATTCATGTTTCTATATACAAACAAATAAAGACCTAACAAGAGCAGGAATCCTTTCCACCTTGTTGTTCATTAGATACACCTTGAAGATTAGTACGACCTGGTTGACTCGGATTATGTTGAACTCCAGATTCGGCAGCATTCAAGTCCAAACTATATGCAAATAAATTATAATATGAAAATTTTCAAAAGAACGAAATATGATCAACCACGTTATTTCAGCAATATGTGTTAGGCACAAAGAAATCGAATTTACTGACCGGCCATCTTGTATACTTTGGAATATCTTTTTTGCTGTTTCCAAAAAAGCCTCTTCAACATTGTGTCCTCTGATAAAAAAGTCATAAATTTAAATATTTTCTAATTATATAATTCGTCTATGTATTTATACTTTAACTGCATAATTTAAATTTAATGCCCTTATGTTCAAACTAATCACCTAATTATTGACTTACGTTTTTGCACTAGCTTCTACAAACATAAGACCATTTTCATCAGCAAATTGTTTTGCTTCCTCATAAGTAACATCTCGTTGACCTTCCAGGTCACTTTTATTTCCAATTAAAAATATAACCTATAAATATAATATGTAAAATTGTTTGTTACATATATAATATAAACCTGTTATTTATAGAGTATGAGAAATACATCATTCAACAGTTCTGCATCAATGTAGTTACACTTTACAGACGTAAATACCATTATGTAAAATATCATATTTTGCATACAGTGCTTGGATTTGTTAAATTCCTTGTATCTGTAAGCCAGCTGCTAAGATGATTATAAGTTGAACGACGAGTTATATCATAGACCATTAATGCTCCAGCTGCACCTCGGTAATAAGATCTATAATGTATAAATATGTATATATTATATAGCCTCTTTATTAAAAATGGTACAATTTAATTATTATAAAAGCATATACCTAGTAACTGCCCTAAAACGTTCTTGACCAGCAGTGTCCCATATTTGTAATTTTATTTTTTGTCCTGCAACTTCAATGATTCTAGTCCCAAATTCCACGCCAATAGTATGTGGACAGTCTGCCATAACTACAGTAGAGGAAAATTTTCTATGTCATTTTATATGTGATGATATGAATATAAAAAGCTTTTAAATAAAAAGATTTATTCTAAGTACAATAAAACTATATAATTAATTTGTTAGAGAAATTACAAATCTGTATACCCAAATCTATATTGTTTATAAAGACTTATTTTTACTATCTTATTTGTTTTTTTAACTTACATTTTTTTTCTGTAAATTGATGCAATAAACATGATTTTCCTACTCCCATATCTCCTATAATAATATATTTGAAGATATAAGAGTAATTATATGGTCCAGTTGACATTTTTTATCTGTAAATATATAATTTACAAACTTTTAATTTTTGTATCAATTTATATAAAATATATTTTATTTATTAAGTTATTTATACAGAGATATTAAAGTATGACAAATATCAGATCCGCAATGAAGTTTATAGAACATCTGGCATAGCAAGAATATATGATAACAAAACACATAAATAAGAATATAATACAAATTACAACAAATGATGATACTATATACATAAATGACAAACACGAATATGTACATTATACCATAATTGGCATAGTTGTAGTATCAATATGTTTGACAAAAGCCTATGCTAAAAAAACATTATAACAAATTATAAATTATTATATTTTATTAAAATAATTTTATTATGATTATGAACTGCTAATAAATATTTAATTGGTGACAAATAAATGCATGGAAATATTACATATGTTAAGTAATACTACATTAAATATAATTATTCTAGTAAAATATCATTTTGTGGATACTTGTGTAAAAATAAAATATAATATGAAGACAATAATGATTTTTACATGTTTATTCAGATGTTTTTTAACAAAACATTAATGATAAAGTAATACATAATTGCTTAAATGACAATTATCATTATTGGTTGAAAATGTTGGAAAAATTATAAATTGTCAAATAATAAAGTATGATAATACCAGTTCTGAATTTATAAATACAAGCAATAAAAACTCAATTTCCTGATGACAACTGTTCACTAAAAAAAGTTTCTGATGTCAACAATGCATTGTCTACTCACCGTTTTGTAGTTCACTACTGTGGAATGTTTTCCCACAAACTGAATTACAAGGATTTCGTTAAAATGTTATTACTACATAAACAATAAATTCTCGTACTAGATGTACAGGTAACAAGCGTAACACCGTAAATGTATTATAAATTACGATTCTTTATATCACGCGCAATATGGCAGATCACTGTCGCTAATAACGATGGCGGCGAATAAACGTCAAACCACCTGTCACTATTTTTTAACAATTCTAGTTATTAACCTACACTCGTTCGTTGCAACTTTAATTTTAATAGTGTTATTTAACTATTACGACGAATATAAGTAATATCTCTAGTTGTAACAGTAATGTTTCCGAATATATAATTTTGTTAAACCATAGAAAGATGAATAAAGATAGATATCATTTGACCATTATGGCAGTAATTCTATACATATATATGGGTACATACAAATTCTAGTGTATTTCAAAATGTCATAGCACTATTAATCAAAATATTCTCCTTATTCCGTAAAACAATGTTTTAGAATTTCATATTAATATGAGTTCTATGTACCAAATATAGAAGCATAATACTCCTATTACTCCTACTAAAGCTATGTATACAAACCAACCGCATACCAGTTCTTTTGAAACAAAGATATTGATTGGTATTTTGCTCTGTCTCAACATCAGTTAGTTTTACTAAATAAATAATAAATGTCTATATATTTTAATGACAAAATATAATAACATTTTAAAATTAAAATCCTAATTTTCGGAATCATAATCCTAATTGGGCATATAATATTTGTCAAAGATAGTTTTGATATAATACAAAAATTATTGTTACAATAACTATTGTATTGAAGTATATATATATAACAGCATTATTTAAAATATTTAATCGTCCTTTTATTTAAGTTTGATATATTTGTAAATTCTTGGTACAATTTTATACAAATTACATTAAATGTAAAAATTAAAATATAATTTTCATATAAGTAACGCATTGTTAGTTACTGCATTTGGTTATTTCGTTTGTTTTAATCATAAATTATGTTAATTGATTGATAAGTTAATAAATTCATATAAATTCTAAAAGTAAAAAATATTTTTTTTGAGAACATGAAACACAGAAACCAAAATTAGCAAATCAAAAGGATTATCGGAAAATTTTTGTTTGAGTATGAAGTACTATCCAATCATCGTAAAATTTTAATGCATTTAAATACATAATAAATAATGCGAATAAGCCTAATTGAGAAACCACCCAAATGTTAGTCATTTGAACAGTATTGGGATTTGTAATGTAAATATGTTAATACTAGTTGTAGGTTGTAGTTAGAATATGCGCACTTTCGTAACTTGCAAATGTTGTGTTATGTACCTATTGTTTGATGGTTGAGACTTATGTTTAAAATAATCCCGTGTAAAATACCTTGCAAGTCTGAAAATCTTAACAGTGCTTAATACATCAGTTTGTTTGTTTGCTTCGTTACTCTTAATAATTATCAATAAAATATAAGAATATTTTTGGTTAAGAGTAGTATCGGTGAATTAAATTCCGTATATGTTAACAGGTGAGAGCTTCTAATTTAGTAAGATTTATTTAACAATAATTCTAGAATAAAAGATTGACGAATAATAATGATAACAAGACATCATAATAATCACTTGTCAATAATATTTATTAGGAATTTATTATATTTAGATTCGTTTTGTTGTTCATTTATTATATATATTATAAATATGTATGTGTACATAAGAAATATATAATAAATCCTTTTTGCGCTATTTGTGCATTATGCATTATGTATCAAAAAATGGTACATTGAAATTCTAAGAAATAATAATAAAGATCTTTTTCTAAATGTAAACAAAAAATATTTGTTTATTAAATTTCTATAAGATTAATCATAAGTATTTTCTTTTACATAGCCTGTACATCAATTTAACATGTTTTAAAATCTCAATTATAAACTTTAATAAATAAATTTTAGTTATTAAAGGATGATTGACTTCTGTCTTTTGTTGTAATGTAATTAGATGTAACATATATATGTAAACATTGTGTTATATATTTTTGGAATTTCAGTATATGCCATATACATTCACTAAAAATGCATTATTACATTCAATAATTGTTGTTATGAAATATTAAGTTTATATATATACATATATGTAGTTTAAATATTTATTAAATAAAATTTGTTTTAGAATAACATTACAGATGCCATACATTTTAGTACGTGGTAATCTTGCATCGTATGGTCATAGATACCCATGGAGAGTTTTAGTATCAGGTCTTAAAGGTACTATCTTTTATTTTAGAGCTTAAACATTTAATATACTCATATTTAATTTATTTATGTAATGGTAATTTATAAAATAAATGTTACTTTGTTGCTACTTAGTTGATATTTTCTATATGCAGTTTTTGCTTCTTATAATACGTGTGTGGCATGTTATATTAACAGAATACATGAGCACACTTATATACGTCACATATTTTTGTTTTATTTCATGATAATATGTATTCATTTATACTTAAAAAGGTAATATTTTAGAAAGTGAAATATGATATATTTAAAGATAAAATAAGTTGTTAATGGATTTACATATCCATTGATTTTTTATAAAAATGAAAGTTGAGTATTTGTATCTTTGTCTCCTTCTTCTCTTTCTTCTTCTTCCTCTACCTTATTTTTATTATAATTGTATATTAAATATTTTATTCTCTTCTACAAAATTTCTAATGTCTACTATGTTTTATAGAGTAAATAAATGTTCTTTTTTATGAAATACATAGTTATATCGCTACATAGTAATAATAATCATTTTTGTAAAATTAGTATTATTCAAGTTATGATAATATAAAAATCATACCATATTTGACATTTATTAGAGAAAAAAGTTAAATAAAAACATTCTAAAAAGTGAAAGATATAATATTCAAATATAAAGTGTCATAATAAAAAATATACATTTATATATTAAGACATTATTTCTTTCTCAATACGTATGTTAATAAATTAATTCCTTAATTAACTAATTACCATTTATACTAATATGTTTATTGAAATCTGGGTAAAGAAAGATGTATAATATGAAGTGATTGGTAGAATATAAATGTATTAATACATTGAATACACAGTTTATAGAAACGTATTGGTTTACTTCAAATTGTTTTGTTTCAATTTGAAAAATTTGGAAACAAAAATGAATTTTTTATTTATATTGCTTCAAGTAAATTACGATGTTGCTCATAAGTGAAACTGATATTCCATAGTTTTGAGTAAAACGATACCCCTATCAATGCTACTTCGCGATAAATTGATAATAATTATCGCGTAGATAGACCACAAGTAAGATTAATTATATTACCTTTCAGCTGAGTTCGTATGATTAAGAACGTGTGGTTTTTATAATTCTTAATTTTTAAATGTAATTTACGTAAAAGTTAGAACAAAATTACGTTGAAAACGCAAGATATTATTCACGTATGTTATAGCATCAGATATAGAACAACTGAGTCGTTTTGCTTCTGGGGGATATTGTGATGATTCGACAATAGTGTATTTGCAACATCCTTGTGTAATATTAACTGCTTTAGAAGTTCTTGGTTACAAAGTCGTAGCATCTTCAAGTACAAGTGTTAAACAAGATTATAATGAGTACATGTGGACTATGAGAAAAGATTTTTCTGAACCTGAACCTGAACCTGTTATTAAGACAGGTATGATTTTGTAGTGATTAATTTATTTTTACTAATAATTACGTGATAACAAACATTTACAGTTTACTTGCATTAAAAAATTTAACACTTTTTATTATTCTAAGAAACAGTATTTTTATCTTTCAAGATGAAAATTAAAAATATAAAGCGTAATTAAAAAATTATATGAATTTATAATTTTTATTTTTACATAAGTTTGGTTTATTACATAAACTATAAATGCAAGAGGAAAGAAAGTTATCAAATATATATGTATGTAAAGAATAATATCGTAACAATACTTATATTACAGTAAATATTTCTTTATTTTTTTATAGATGAAATATTATAATAGAATTTTCTTATATACAACGTTTCTAGTTAGTTAGAAAAATATGTAATTAAAGATAAATGTGATGTATTAAAAAGTTTGTACGAATTGCACTTGATTACTAATTTGTGTATTTATTTTCGAACTTTTCTGTTAGATTCTTTACTTTCAAAACGTTTCAATGTTTTGTTTGTAGAAAATATTTTATGCAAGTCTGCTTATAGAATTATTGTGTTTAATTAAATTATATGGATTTTTTATATATATTTCATATATATATAAATCATAACAAAAGAAAAAGAGAGGGAAATATAAAATTCAAGATATTCGTTATCTACTGCATTATTTTTATAAGGATGGCAACAAACACAAGTACGGTTCTTACGAAGGTTATGTGTATTAGTGGCTGCTGACGTTTAAATTTGATCATCAGATACGTTGTAGATATTTTATCTAACAGTGGTATATATTGTTCGTCATTTAATGTGACATTCGCTTAAAACTTTCGCTCTTGCATAAGCTAAGAACTTTCATCGACATTACGAACTTCTATTGATTTTTATTATGTGCGTGTGAAAGTTTTGTTGTATATAATTTTCTTTGGTAAATGATTAATAACAAAAATGATTTTGAAAAATTACATTCAATTACTTCAATGATATATAAAAGGTGTATAATCTTAGTAATTTATATATAGTATCTACCTGGATATTAGAAAGAACAATGTGTACATCTATTAATTTTTTAAACAAGCACTATATTTTGTAAATTTTATAAAATTGTTAGTATCTTAATTTTAAACTTTTGATGCTGTGCTAATAGTATAATTTTGTGTATAACATTTAATTATGTTGTAAATCAATATTTTCATTTTTAATTTTTATACTTATTTCCTTATGCGAACATTATGTACTTTAGTTTTGATTCCGTATAAAAAAAAATTAATAAAATAATATATAAATGATGTTTTATACAAAAATTTTATATTTTTATTATATTAAACCACAATTAACTATTTATGTTAGAAACTAAAAATTTTATAAATATAAAATAAATAAAACATATGTAGTTAAAGGGAAAGTATGTTGTAAAACTTAAAAAAGAAACGATGGTTAAAAAACGAGGAATTGTGTGGAACTACTATAATAAAAAAATGTTAGGATCTCAAGTGATTGCATTTTGTAAGTTTTGTAATCAATCATACATTCAAAATGCTACTCGTATGGAACGACATATGGAAAAATGTCCAAAGTGTCCAGAAGATGTTAGACAACAATTTATGCAAGTAGCTCATAACAAGAGGCATAAAGCTAATAATCTTGACAATAAAATGAACGATGGATGGCCAAAACAAGAATCTTCGGTAGATCACAACATTACAGATACAGAGTTAGAAGATTTAGATGATTGGAATTATAAAAATCAGTCATATTTAGTTGATACATCTAATGCAATACAGCAAAATATGGATTTAGTAATGCATAATAATGAACAAAATTGGGTAAATCAGGATAATGCGGTTAAAAATCATGATACAGATACAAGATTAGTTAGTAGGAATTGGGAAACAAGTGAAAATGATACAGAAACAATTGCAGCTGGTAATTTGAAGAAAAAGGATATTTATGAAACATTTAAGCTATAATCTTATTTTGGAGTTATTATTAGATTGGATACAATTATGCAACTAATTCTCAAATCATTATCTAGGACAGATTTTTTAAATGTTTTTAAAAATTTTGTGTAGCTGGATCTCAAGAACGATCAAGTTCAGTTCACCAAAGAAAGTCATATAATCCTAGAAGAATATCAGCTGTTTCTTCTGTACAAACATCAGATTGTTTACCCTTACAAAATAAAATATATCAAGAACAATTATTAGAAAGACGTGCCTTAAGAAGAGCTGCAGAATTAGAAGTACAGCGTAAAGCCTTGGAACTAGAAAGATTTCAATGGGAATATGAGAGAGATAAACTTCAAACTGAAGTTCGTTGGGCTCATGAAACTCGTATGATGCAACTTAAAGAAGAACGGGAAAGACATTTGACTGAACAGAGTAGAATAAAGACAGTTTCACATATAGTCTAATTGTAAATAATGAATTTTACCTATTGATAATGAATAATACCATTATATTCTTGCATAATAATCTAAAACGTTTTTATACTCAAGATTATTCTTAATCAAATATGAGTAGATGATAAAGAGAATGTAAAATAATATATTATCCATTTAGAATGAAATATAATTCCTTTTTATATTTGTAGAAGGAAGTATTCTGTATATATTTTATATAATATTTTCAAGCAGTATATTAAACAGGATATTTAATTCCAACAAAATGTGGAAACTCACAAATATCATCATAAAGAGTTATTGAGTATATATTTAAAAAATATAAACATTTTCAATTCCAAACACATTTGAGCATAACTATTTAGATTTTGTAATTCAAATTTTAATTACTATAAATTACATATATATAATAACTTGTTTTTTCCTCTGGTATATTACATTTTTTATTAAATAATTTATTTCTATCTCTTTATTTATTTAAATTCAATATCACTTTATTACAACATACTGATTAATATTATATAAACAAATTTGAGATAAAACTTTTTTATCGATATTTCTGGGAAAAATTAGTTTCTTTCATTGTCTTAATTTAGCATAAATGAGTAGTAGAAAAATGTAAAAGTAGATATATTTTTGCCAAGATAAAAATATTGTTTCTTTTTGCTTATAAAATTAGATGTACTTGCATTGTATATAATATTATTTATATTATATAAGACTTAGTAGTTAAATAATAGGATTTTCTCTTAAAAGAGAAAATGAGGGAGTTACAAAATATGTTTATATTTTTCCCAACAGCATTCTAGAAGCAACATTTTTCTTTTGACAGTAAAAGACAACGAAGTTTAACAATCCTCTTTAGCTCAACAATGTCACAATCAGTGAATACAAGTGTCGGAAAATTAGCCAATGAAGTGAATGATGATGAGAATTACTATTACGTTGGCGTAAAAGCCTCGCCGTTTGCGAATGATTGCGTTGTCTTCGGTTTAAATTCGGATGAAATTTTGGCTCTTTCAAAGCGTTTTCCAAACTCTGGATCAGATGTGGTCAACGGCACTATGATCAAAGGTTACCATCAACCATTTTCAAAACATCTTTTTTACAGAATAACTGTATTTTTACGCGTTTAATTAAACTTTTTACCGAAAATATTTCTAACTCTGTCTTTTGTAGCAGAATTTGCGAAAATATAGTATATAAGTCCTATACGTGAAAATTGCTTCGGTTAATTTTTTAATTATACCTACATTTTATATATCTCTGCAAGTTAATAATAAAAATAGTGATATGTTGGTAAAAATAGATTTATAATTTAGATTTCCTTGTTTGTCATATTTGCTATATATTTAGTAATTGGAATTGCTTTGGATTTCCGATAAAAAAACATTATATCTGTAAAATGTTATACATTAAATTTACAAATAACATTGATATGTTATTGTCGAAAAGAAGATGTTATATTGAAATATTTTATAGAAATTCAGCATTGGTATGTCTTATTGCATCGTATATTTGTAAATCATAGAATATTTTTCTTAATTTGTGCAATAAAATTTATTGCAGGACCACCTTTTTCCATCATTAACGCCCTGGCAGAATTAGGATATCGAGTTATCTGTAGCACAGGAGAAGCTGAAATACTTTGGACACTGCAAAGGGAATTATAAAATCAACAATTATTCTCAGGACTACGATTTATAAGAAAAAAATACTACTTATGTATTTAAAGTATAGTATGCGTGCATGTTTAATAATGTGCACGCCAATTAAGAAACCAGTATGAATGAAGTATTATTTAATTATATAAAAAGTTTGTATACAAGGAACACACGTAGATATAAGAAGTGGTGTGTTCACTTTCGTTATAAAATTTTTATCAATATTTTTTAACTTGCTTTAGGGATGTATATTTTGTATCGAACATATTTGTACCAATAGATTTTCACGAGGAATTTTAGCAAGTTTCGTACATTACATTCGTAAAAGGCATTTAATAGGTTAAAACTACAATCGTACATCGTTTTATACATAAATCTATATATCATTTTTGCAACTTCGAATCGAATTAAAGGCAAAATGTCATCAATTTGTTTTAATATGAACTTACGATAACAATTGTGACACTAATAAGACTGTACGAAATCAAGTTTCCAATTTCTATACTTTGCCGATTAGATCAATATTTTTTTTGAACAATTATTTTATTACTTACCATAAAAATTAAATACATTTATGCATAAAATTGTGAGAAGTTGCAAAAATGATAACAATACCAACGCTTATCTTATTCGTTATTTTTAATCCATGCAGTATCAATATTAAGTCATTTCGTGCAATAGAGGGACAATTTTTCTATTGTTTTTCTATTTTATATTATCTGCAATATAATTTTTAATAAAATTGTATTGTCATATTTTTGTGTATATTTATAACGCTATGATACAATACACGGAATCAAAACTAGCGTTAATATTATGTAATGCTGTAAAAGAATTTGCACTGTACTCAGTATTTATTGAATTCATTTATGAAACGATAAGGCAATATTTCTTAGCACAGCATCATGCTTCAAAACGAAAAGAAAATGGGTAGCAATTGTCGAAGTACTATATTACAAAATAATCGAAACATAATATTATAATATATATAGAGGTCGATTTTGTATGCCGCGCCTTATTTTCATATACGAATTCGATATATGTACATATATATTATAAAATTACATATATGTGAACTATGTGAAATACATTTTTGCATATTGTGAATGAAAATTCATTGAAGAATATATGATTAGTATGACTTAAAACTATTTCTTTATGTACTTCTTCACAACCATTTATAATTTACGAAATATTAAAATTTATTTTCATATATAATGACATAATACTTATTTGTATTACCAAAAAATATTTCAGTACAATTTTTATTCTTTTTCTTTTTTAATGACATGATAGGTAAATTATCCAGACGCTAATTAAGCGGACCTATCGCAAATATGGAGCACGGTCATAACTGTAACGATCATAATACATGCTGCAGCGTAAGTAATAATATCGGAGTTAGTCAGTCTCTTATGGAAATGGAATTTGAACGTGGTATATGGTACGCCGGTAAATAATTAAATTTATTTTATTTTTATTCTATTATTTTATTTTATTTTATTTTTTTTTTTTTGAAATATCGTTAATAATATTTATGCCATTTTCAGCACAGTATAATGACTTGGATCGTGTAAAGATATTACTGAAGAAAGGTGTATCGCCAGATGCAGAAGATTCTGCGGGATATACAGCGTTACATTACGCAGCTCGAAATGGACACTATAAAATTTGTAATATTTTATTAGAAAATGGTGCAGCAGTGAATGCGCAGACACGTTGTGGACATGCTACTGCTTTGCATAGAGCAGCTATGCAGAGTCACTCTGAGATCGTTGAACTATTGTTGAGATTCGATGCAAACCCTAATTTAAAAGACGTCGATGGCTACACCGCTTTGCATAGAGCACTCACGGCACGCTCCACACCTGTTTGCAAACTACTAATACCATGCACTGATCTATCATTACTGAATAGCAACATACAGAGTTTAGAAGAATTAGTAAAAGAAAAATATCCTGACATTTTACCATTTTTATTAACATATATGAATAAAGGAGAAAAAGTAAATGATTAATAAAAATTATAAAAATCTCCTAGACTTTTTAAATTTTCCGTGTCAACACACGAATAATAAAAATGTGGTACTATAAAAATATTAATTTTACGAATAATTGTCAGAAGAAAACTGTATTTGGTAGATAAAAGAATCTTGAAGATCTTAATAGATTTATAAAATGTGATTTTCAAAAGTACCGGATATCATATCTTTTATAACTGTTTTCTAATTTATTAATAATTAAATTGCAACCATATACAAAGTGTACAAGTATATTTCTAATGTTAATAAACTGATCTATGTAATCCGCTCGCTTATATTGTTGGTATTTTAATATTAAAGATACTGCTTGATATTTAAAAACAATGTGCAGTTTTGTTAACTGGATCGTAAATTTTACACCGTGTAGGTGTTAAAAAGTAATAATAATATAAATAAAGGTTTTATTTTATACTACATGAATATATTAATAGTTGGTAAATACATTAGGCATGAAATTTTCTTTTATATTTTATATAACAACATAATGTCATACAGATAAACATTCTTAAAAGTAAATCTAAGGAAATATGGACTATAAAGACGATTCTATCAAATGATAAAGGAATAAATGTATAAATAAAATTGATAGACATGCATTATTATTGGTGGTGTTCGTTCCATGTGCTTGTCAGAACGGAGAGGGTCGTGCACTTGATATTGAATCGTTCGCGCGCGACCGTAAGTATTCGGGTTGGATCGGGGGTTATCGTTAGAATTCGACAGTGCTCGATGAGTTGCGGAGCGTAATCTGTACGGCCGCCGGAGCCCCCTTGCGATAAACAGTGGTGCCATCTAGCGGAACACCTCCCGTCTCTCTGTACTGTACGACTGCAATCGTTGCATGGAGTCAGTCGTTTCACGAATACCGCGGGTGGTTTGCGCGAAGGCTCGCCGCCGCCTTTAGCCGTTGCGCGACGGATCGTCCGTCGTTTCGCGGTCCGAGGTTCGTCCGCGTGTCTTCGACCACCTTTCCCGCCTGGATTCTTGTGCGGTTTTACTCGTCGATTTGAGTGACAATCGCGAGCGATGTAATCGTGCCCTGACGTCACACGGCTAATCAAGTGCACACACGAACGCAACACAGGCGCGCGCGCGCCTGCTACTCGTATTCGTATACACGGATGGTCTACGTAGCTGCTCACGGTATACTACATACAACACGTATACAGCCGTGCACACGGCTAAACTGATAGAGAGAACGAAGGAAAGGGAAACAGTGTGCAAGATCGCAAAAGACAGAGGAGAAAGAACGGAAACTGAGAGATAAGAAAGAAAGGGAAATATATATATATATATGCGTATCTACATATATATGTATATGTTGCGTAGCAAGAGAACGGTATTAGAGAAAAGGGGTGAGGCGTAAGACGTATAGACGGAGGACAATTCACACTTGCATACGTCTATGTAGGCTTGTACGAGCCTTTCGCCTTTATAAAACATTATGCGTAGATATTACAGCGAAAAACACGAGACGGTAAGAAGCACGAAATTCTTTCTCCGGTTGATATATTCAAGCATCGATTTTTCTCGAACGACTTGTTTTTGTAACTCTCGCAAAGTATTTCGCGTTTTCGACACGTGCAAAACAAGGCTATGAAATAGAATAAAGAAGAATCAGACGAAAGAGCGAGAGAGAAGTGTCTACATCTCGTGGCGCCCCGTTGTGTTTTTCTACGGAAAACTGTGCTCGGAACCTGCGTGAACTTTCAGAGTGGAAGAAAACGTTTAGCAAACGGAAGAGAAAAATGTTTCTTTCAGAAAGGTAAACTGAAAGGTGAAGGAAAATTTTATTCGTACGTATATCATTTGATCTAATCAGTGAAACTCAGTGAGAAACCAAACGAAGAAGTTTGAACTCGAACGACAAACTTCAATGGACAAAACAAGTTTTATCCCAATCGAACCGGTCAGTGAGTGTAATATAATTTTTGTGTGTTATCTCTTGTTGAAGCCTTTTTTCTTGCTGTTATGTGAATTTTTATCATGAATATAGAAGTGTGTACGTGCGACACGATTGCGGGTGTACCTTGTTCGTGCAATAATAAGAAAGTGGGGTCTGTACGTTCCGTTTTTATTAACTTGTCGGACGGTCCACTGCTTTGAGAGTCAAGTTCGTCGCGCTTCGCTGTACGCGCCGTGTCTGGTGCGCACATATTTCCTCGCGCTTTCGGTTGCGCTCCGCGACAAGCTTTCTATTCCAAGTGAGATGAAATATATCCTCTCCGTCATATCGAGAACTATCGGTAAGGGTAATTGCGAATTACGCGGCAGTTACGTGCTTTACACTTGCATTTCTTTCGTAATTTCGTTGAACGTACTTTCGTTTCGCATTTCCTATCGTTATTAACTTTATAGCTTTTCAACCCTTTCATGGATATAATCTATATTTTTATCAAAAACCAAAAATTTTAATCAAGAAAGTATATCAAATAGAACTTATATTTATTTCAGTAAACCAGTTTTGTGCGTTATCTCTTGTTGAAGCCATATTGGATATATGTTATTAAATCAAGGTTTAATAAAATTTAGTTTTTATTTTCCACGATTGTCTACGGTCTACGTATATAATATATGTATGTGTGGTAATAGAAACGGAAATACATTTTTATATCGCCCTTACATATGACCCTATTTAATGGGGAAAATAGATTTCATTGTTTATGAAAGGGTTAAATTTGATTTTCAAAGTTTCTGCTGCAGTAATTAGTCGCTGACAGAGACCAATATGATAAATTGGATATTTACGAACGAATTTTATTATAAATTTCAAATGCAAATAAGCTTCGCTTTAATCATTAATAAAGTTTAAAATCATGAAATCATTAATAAATTATCATACTGTGAATATATCAAATAAAATGTTGCAAAAATTATTGTTTTAAGGAATATTAATTTATAGTCGAAGAAATTTTATATCAATTTTTTCGTTTAAACAAGAAAAGATGTACTTTGTCAGAAATGCATTTTCTCGCGTTTATCTCGAGCTGTCAGGTCGGTTGATGAATCTTAGAAAACATTCCAAAGAATTCCAGCGAAAAAGTAGTGCCCGTGGGTAGAGAACGTAAGCGTCGACGACAATATCGATCAACTTTTCCTAAACGTGCCTCGGTCTACATATGTTTGGAAGCAGAATGGGGTGTGGACATGCGCATATACAGACCATTGTATTAGTAGTGCGTTGTCAAGTGCGCCATGTGATGCGTGAGATTGTGATGCAGTAACAAGTATTCTTCGTTTCACAAAAAAATATGTTTTAATTAAAATTATTATGTAGACCGAATGTGTTTACTATTTAACGACAATAGATTCGTACAACATATAATTATAAAAAAAAAATGAACTGTGTATTTATCAAATTTCATAATACATATCTCGTTCATACCTATTAATTGATAATTACAAAATTACCATTCTTTGTTATATATCGTAATTATAATATTTCGGGGATCTATAAACGACCTAAATTATCTTAATTATTTTGAAATGAATGTGATAATGATAAATGAGTAGTTTATGGAGGTACTGCGGCGTTAGAGTTTCACAAGTACTATATTTATGTTTTATTGCATCGGTTTCACTTTCTGCTTTGCTTGTACCACTTACTTGACGCAAAGGATCTTGGGTAAAATTTGCATCGAAACATGGCATCAAAAGTCTCTTTATTTTCTTTTCAAATATCTTAGCTAATTTTCTTTGGTAATGACGCAGTTTAGTGACTTTTCTCTATTTTGACTATTTGATTCCAGTGTTTTCTTTTTTGTCAGAAAGTAAGGAGAAATTTAAAAGTTTCAAGCTCTCCTAATAAAATAGTAAAAAGTATATTAGTTCCTTGAACTCTCACGATTGAGATTTCTGATTTTAGCGATA